ACGAAACAGTTTGTCACAGCCCCTCGTTTGTTGTCCTCTTCTCTCTCTCTGCCTACGGTTTACCGGGCAGTTCTGTTTGTGACGATATATATATATATATATATATATATCGTCATATATATATATATATATATTTCTATTTGATGATATATATATATATATATCATATTGGTTTTCCCAAGACTGATAAGTGTAGACAAGAATTTAACTTCATCGCCAAGCTCTACCTTCGAGGATATTTGCAAATTGATACAAATATCATGTACCAAGTTACAAATCTGTTTGGCCAAACAATAAGGTCCATTCACACCGAGAATCCAATCTTTCTCATATCGAACGTAATAGACTCGGACTTGGTCAATTATGAAATCACTACAGAAGTATGATAGTTCTGTATATATATATCAGGTCTTTTCCTTGGATTTGATTCTCGTAGCCACCACCCTTATGGCTGGAATTCGTTGTCTGACAGACTGATGCAAGTTCATGCAACGACCCGAAAGGTCCTGGTGGGTTGTTTCCCACCATGGATGCTCTGTAGTGGGAGCAATCCACACCGCAAAGTTGGAGTCCTTCAGCCAGAGCGGAAGGCCTGGAAGCATCAGCTTGTTTTGTATTTTGGATCCATCACTTGCCTGCGGAAAAGGAACCCAATTGGTGCTTTCCTGAATAGAAACGAGTTAGGATCAGAAAGCCCTGTTTTCATTATTACGGAACGGAGGAAGAAAGGGATTAGTACCCGGATTACACACCTGGCTTGAGAGGTTTCCACTGACTATTCGCTTCCCTTCTTGTGCGCCAAATGAACGAACAAACATGTTTCTTTTTTCTTTTTTTTTTTCAAGCAGCTGCATGAGCTTCAGCACATCTGGATTTCTATCTCAGCTGCATGTACGAAGCGAGTTACAGCCATATCAGAGTTGTCTTCCCAAATTGATGACGTGGAATCCCATCGTTCGCGACGGATACAAAGCAAGTTGATTGAAGTCACGGACATGCTGGTGGATATTGCACATGCGACGCGTGGGCAGGTGAGCTCAAACTTACAAGTTCATGCTCTGTGAATTTTTTATTCTTCTTCTTCTTTCTCTTCACCTTCACTACCACCTTCCCCTGAACACCATGTAGAATGGAAACAAGTTACCTTTCTGCTCTGACACCATCGTGATGAGACTGAGTTGTGCGCAGAGGAAGACTGTACTGCGATCAACCAAGTGCATCACTCCCCTCATCCTAAATCTGCACCGTTTGAATGCTAAGCGTGGAGGTGTTATTTGTATGGGACGGTGGGCCCGGTTCCCAGCACGTATTGCTCCCCACGAATAGACTGGAGAATTTGTCCCCAAAAAAAAAAAAAAAAAAGATGTGGAGGTGGTACAACACACACTGGACCAAGCATGCATGCATATGGTGTCGTTAATTCCTGCACCAGTGAATTGCAAGGAAAATGAGCGATAGCGAACTTCAGAAACCAAGCAGCATCATACACATGAGACCAGATAGTCATGACCTCGAACCAAAAGCAGAATTGCAACACGAGTCCCACCAAATAAGAGCACAGCAAAAACTCGTAAGTGACAATGTTCAAGTAGTCTCATCATCATCAACAAAGAACCAATGTCGACATCCTATCTGGTGCTCTGCGCCCAGACTACAAATGGCAGATCCTATCTAGCCTATCTACAATGCCGCTGGTGACGTCAACAGCTCCCCGAAGTACGGGCAGATCTCGGCCAACGCCGTTCTCCTCAAGCACCAGGTATGTCTCTCGTATCACTCACAACCTCGATCCCCCACTCACAGATGCCACGTACACCCAAGGACCACCATGCGCCCCATCCAGCATACAGCAGCGCAGCTCGGCTATCGCTGCCTGCTCCTTCCAGCTCGCCCTGAGCGCGTGAGCGCTGGCCAGCGTATAGCGCAGCAGCGCTTGCTCAGCATGCAGCCAGTGCCCGAATGAGGAGTGCGGGGGCAGGCACTTTCCTAAATGGAAGTGACCTGCCTGCTGCGTGCGGCCTGCCTGCGTTGGGCCTCGGTCCAGAAGCTTCCGGTAGGCCCCGTGAAGCTGAGCCCCAGTCCGAACGAATCAGGCCCAGGGCCTGTGGTGGTTACTCGTATCCAACTGCCCACAGCCTGTGTTCGGCCCATGTTGCGTATCTGGCCCAGGGCCTGCCTCAGTTACATACAAAAAAGGCAGCCTGGGCCTGGGCGCTCTCAACCAACTGGCGCTGCGCAACTGCCTGTATTTCCCCAGTTGCGTGGTGACCCCAAAAATGGGCCTGTAGGCCTTGGTCGAGCTTGCCTTCACTTAGGGCGGCCGACTGTACTGAAAATAGGGCCCAGTAGGGCGTATTGAGGCCTTGAGCCTCGCATTCCCTCCTCCATACTTCGACAGTCCTCTGAGAAGTCCCATTACTCAATCTGTCGCTCTCCCTTCTGCAGTGACTTCTCGTAGTGAGCGACAGCCCGTGGAGCGGTTTGCATCAGTTCCTCGCTGGTAAACCATCTGTCCTCCTTAGGATCAGTGTGATGTCTGAACCGAACGTGATACTGCAGCTTCGGCTTAGGAGGACGTCCCCTGCCTGTTGGTCTTGGAACTGGCATTTCCCTGTGGTCCACGATGTCATCGATGTCGACCTCTCCATCCATGGTTATGGGCAGCATTGAGCGACGAGAGGGAAACTGGTCAGTTTCCTTGAAAGGTGCAAGTTTGGAGGCGTGAGAGACAGGGTCAGTGCGAAGATGACCAGGGATCCGGATTACATAAGATGGCCCATCCGGATCTCCCCCAACAACATCGAGAACCTCCCATTGTCCAAAGTACTGTGGCATGAGCTTGTGGGAGATCCCGTGCTCCTGTCCCAATTCTGAGGACTTCACCCAGACTCTGTCCCCTACCTGAAATGTGGATGGGCGGCGGTGTTTGTTCTCAGACTCTATCATTGCCGCCTGTGCCTTATGCATCTGTTGTACTGGCCCCTGCATCAGTTGTTCACAACGATAGCCAAATTCAAGTGTGCCCGGTGCAACATTTGGCTGGTTGTCAGGTAGTAGAAAGTCTAGGGGCAGTCTAGGCTTGAAAGTCAGTAGCAGAGTGTTAGGGCTTACCCTAGTGGCGATGTGCACAGCGTTCTTGTACAGGCTGGCGATGAGAGCAAGTTTCTCATCCCAGTCCACCTGATTGGGCTTAATGGAGTGCCGCAACAGGTGTTGTACAACGCGGTTCAGCGCTCTGCTTGGCCATTTGCCTTTGTGTGGTTCCCGGAAGTCATCTGCAGCTGTGTTCCCTGTTCTGCAGCTGTGTTCCCTGTTCTGCAGCTGCAGCCTTCCACAATTAACTGGTGAATCCGACATCCCTGTCAAGCCTAAAGTCTCTGACCCAGTTATCTTTGAACATCTTGATCACATACTCGGTCTTAGCTGTAGCAGGCATTGCAACTAATCTAGCGTACTTACTAAACCTATCCACAATGACGTAGATATATCTCATTCCACTCTTGCTGGTGACCAGAGTGTCCATGAAATCCATAGACAGGCTCTCACTGGGCCTTTCCGGAATCGGAAGGGGCTTAAGAAGCCCAAGAGGGGCCTGGGTACGTGGCTTGTCTCGCTGACAGACTTGACAAGTCTCCATTTACAGCTTCGCATCCTTCATCATTGTGGGCCACCAGAACCGCTGCAACAAGTTTGCTGCAATCTTCCTATATCCAAAATGTCCTGTGGCATCATGACACTCACCTAAAAATAAACTACGCAAAGAATCCCGATAAGGCACACAAAGACGTTTATTCCCGGCCTTCTCAAGGAACAGCAGACCATTGATCAACTCAAACTCTTCAGACGTAGCTTTATCCTTCGCCTCGAGTCTGCGTATGATCTCTGACATGAACGGGTCCTCGCGATAGGCTTCCACCAAAGACTGAGTAACATCGTCCGCAAGCCCAAACTCAGTGATCAGCGCACCTAGGAAGTCTGGCCTACACAACAGCGCATCAACAACCTTGTTGTACTCCCCCTTAATGTACTGGGGTTCGAAGTCATACTGCTCTATGAATTCAATCCAACGCTTCATAGCATCGGAGAGTACCAGTTGAGTCTTCATCCACCTCAGGGTCTGATGATCAGTCCTGACGTAGAAGAAGCGACCAAGGAGGTAATGCCTCCAGTGAGTCAACGCTTCCTAAATCGTGTAGAGTTCCTTCTCATAGGTGGACTTGGCCAACTTCTGAGAGGGCATTTTTCTGGACATGTACTCTACGGGCCTCAACTTTTCCCCCTCCTGCTGTGTAAGTACGGCACCAATGCCATATTAGCTGGCATCCGTGGTCACAACAAACGGCTTGTCAGGATCGGGCAGTTTCAATACCTCATGGTGCGTCTGCGCATGCTTCAGATGTCTGAAGGCAGCCTCGCACCTGTCTGTCCACTCCCATGGGGTGTCAAGGCGGGTCAGGTAAGTCAAAGGGGCGGCCACTATACTATAATTCTTGACAAAATTGCGGTAGTAGCCGGTCATCCCTAAGAAGGACCTCATCTCAGTCACAGACTGAGGACGCGACCAATCACGAATGCTGACCACCTTCGCGTCACCGGGCTTCAATCCCTCCGCGGAAATCTCATGACCCAACTACAAGATCCGGGTGCGGCCAAACTCTCACTTCTCCCCGTTGATCTTGAACTTGTGCTGCCGAAGGAGATTAAGGACTTTATCTAAATGACCAACGTGCTCCTCGACAGTCCTACTGAAAATAAGCATGTCATTGAGGTACACAATGACAAACTTATCCAAGTAGTTATGAAAGATCCGGTTCATGTTGTGCTGAAAGGTGCTAGCAGCATTGCAAAGGCCGAAGATCCTTGGGCCGGATTGCAATCTGATGGTACCCGGACTTCAGATCTATCTTACTGAAGTACCGACACCCTTGCACTTGGTCCAACAAGTCATTGATATGCGGTAGGGGCTCTGCATTCTTCACAGTGATGACGTTGAGGCCCCTATAGTCAATGCACATCCTCAAGGTCCCCCTCTTCTTCGGTACAAATAAGATTGGCGATCCGTAAGAGGAAACACTAGGCCGGATCCAACCCTTCTCTACGAGTTTCTTGAGTTGCCGGCGGAGCTCATCAAACTCGCCTGGAGACATCGGATAGATCCTACCCTGTGGAGTGCTAGACCATGGGATAATCTCTATCGCGTGGACAACCTCCCTCTCAACAACTCCTTTCGGCTCTTCAAATAGATCAGGGTACTTAGCGACTACTCCCTCTATCTCCGACGACATTTTCACCGGCTCGCCTGCTGCAGAGACATAAACTAAGTACATACCCTCCTCCGGATCTTGCTGATAATAATTATAAAACGCGGCGCACACATGCATCCGTAGGACTCGATCAGCCTACTAGCTTTAAACTTACGTAATCCGGCGGTCCCCCCTCCGGGCAAAGTGTGTTTGACCACTTTTCTGTCCCAGTCAAACTGGGTTGTGCAACCGAAACATAGTACATACCTAACAAGTTGTTCATCGGGAGATCATCACTGACTAGGAATGAGACGCGATATCTCAATTCCCCTCCCGCGCCTCGACCCTAGCAGGAACAACTACTATTTCTACTAGCCCGACGTGTTTCCCGGAGCAGTTCCCGAACTATTGGCAACATTGCTACCTACGGGAGCGGAGGATCCCAACGCCTGCCCCATTGTAGGCGGAATAATTTCGGTCACCTTCTTATTTCGACACTTGAACTGATTATGGCCATATTGACCACAACGGATGCAAGTCTGCCGAGTGTATCGATCCCTCCACACGTCCTCTATAAGAACCGCTTTCTCCCATGGAGGAGCATTGGGGTCAACTTGACTCCTAGACCGGGAGCCTCCATGGCGTCTACCGGTCGCCTTGCCTTTTTGAACTGAGGTAGCGACTACTCCACCCCCTGAAGCTTCTACGCTGCCCGCCTCTGCACCTACTCCCTCATGAAAGTCGTTATCCAATTCAATGGTTGAGCCATCGTTGTCGACAAACATAATGCGGCCCTTCGCCTTCCAGTTGGGAGGCAATGACTTCTTCCTTTCATCCGTCGTGGGTTGGTGCCCATGCCCTATCTTTGCATCTAGGTCTAGGGCCTTCTTGCTAAA